ATATATATATTACATAAATTAAAATTACATATATGAACTCTAAATTAATTTTATATATAAAATTTACATAAATAAAAATAAAAATTATCAACTTAAAAATAAATTATATTTTAATATATATATATATATATATATATATATATATATATATATATATATATATATATTCTCCAAAGTATAACTTAATTTCATTTCTATAATATAACATATAATACATTTCTATGTGATTTCTGTCAAATTATAGATTGAAAATAAACATTTTTAAAAACTCAAATTATAGATTGAAAATAAATCTATAAAATTTTAAAAATGATGCTATATTTTTTAAAACAAATATTAGAAAAAGGTTTAAAAACATGTATAAATTATATTTATATGTCCAAAATATTAAAGATATCTACATTTAAAAAAATACTAAAAAATATTAAAAATTATACTTTAAATTAATGAAAATATTTAAAAAAAGTTATATTTATTAAAGTATTAAAAAATATTTTGTAATATATAAGTTTAAAAAATTATCATTAAATTTTTTAAAAATTATTAGTTTTGTAATTTATATACAATGAAAATAATATAATTGTATATTAGTATATAAATATATAAATATATAATTTAGAGTTTATATATGTAATTTTAATTTATGTAATATATATATATATATAATTTATATAATATATATAATTTATTTATCATTAAAAATATTTATATTTTTATTAATTTTATAATTATAATTTTCAAAGTATAACTTAATTTCATTTCTATAATATAACATATTTAAGAGCGGTTCTAGTGGAACCGCTATCATATATAGAATTGATTAATTTTTCAAATTATAGATTATAATTGATTAATTTTTCAAATATATATTAAAAAAGTATAAATAAAAATATATATTAAATTAAAATTAAAAAAAATTATTTATCAATTATATATTATAAAAATTATAATTATATAATTAAAAAAATCTTATTTATAATTATAACTTTAAAAAAAATTATAACTATAAAATTAATGTTAAATAAATTATATATATTATATAAATTATATATATATATATATATATTACATAAATTAAAATTACATATATGAACTCTAAATTAATTTTATATATAAAATTTACATAAATAAAAATAAAATTTATCCAAAGTATATATATATATATATATATATATATATATATATATATATATATATATATATATATATTCTCCAAAATTATCCAAATTATCCAAAATTTACATCAACTTAAAAATAAATTATATTCTAATATATATATATATATATATATATATATATATATATATATATTCTGCAAAATATAACTTAATTTCATTTCTATAATATAACATATAATACATTTCTATGTGATTTCTGTCAAATTATAGATTGGAAATAAACATTTTTAAAAACTCAAATTATAGATTGAAAATAAATCTATAAAATTTTAAAAATGATGTTATATTTTTAAAAACAAATATTAGAAAAAGGTTTAAAAACATGTATAAATTATATTTATATGTCCAAAATATTAAAGATATCTACATTTAAAAAAATACTAAAAAATATTAAAAGTTATACTTTAAATTAATGAAAATATTTAAAAAAAGTTATATTTATTAAAGTATTAAAAAATATTTTGTAATATATAAGTTAAAAAAATTATCATTAAATTTTTTAAAAATTATTAGTTTGGTAATTTATATACAATGAAAATAATATAATGGTATATTAGTATATAAATATATAAATATATATAAATATATAAATATATATAAATATATAAATATATAAATATGTAAATATGTAAATATATCAATATATCAATATATAAATATATCAATATATCAATATATCAATATTTAAATATATATTAAAATATATAAATATATTTGTATCTATAGATTTTATAAATATATAAAGATATAAATATATATATATATATATATATATATATATATATATATGTATATAAAGATGTAAATATATAAAGATATAAAGATATAAATATATGTAAAGATATAAAGATATAAAGATATAAATATATGTAAAGATATAAAGATATAAATATGTAAAGATATAAATATATATCTTTAATATTTTGTACATGTAAATATAATTTATATATATTTTTAAATCTTTTTCTAATATTTATTTTTAAAAATATAATATTATTTTTAAAATTTAATATTTAAAATTTTATTTTTTTTCAAATATATAAAGATATAAATGTATAAGGATATAAATAAATATATAAATATATATCAAAATATTAATATATAAATATATCATTATATAAATATATATATATATATATATATATATATATATATATATATATATATATATATATATATATATATCAATATATCAATATTATCCCCTCATATATTATTATACATTATTAGCGTAATTTTAGTTTAATTAAAAATTAGAATACAAATATATTATATTAATATACCATTATGTTATAATATTTGTAATTTATTTTTATAGTGTATAAATTACAAAACTAATAATTTGTATACTATACTATACTAATATATAATTTGTATACTATACTAATAGTATAATATACTATATTATAATATTATTTGTATACAAAACTAATATCTTTATATCTTTATATATAAATATATAAATATGGAAAGATATAAATATATGTAAAAATATAAAGATATAAATATATAAAGATATAAATATATATAAAAATATAAAGATATAAATATATAAATATATAAATATATCAATATTTAAATATATCAATGTATTAATATTTAAATATATATTAAAATATATAAATATATTTTTATTTATAGATTTTATATTTATATATTTATACTGATATACATTTATTTGTATATAAATATAATTTATTTGTAAGTTATTATTAAAAAATTCTAGTAGCTTAGTGGTTGGAGTTTCAATCTCAAACTCTAAGGCATCGTGTTCGAATCTCGACAATGTCAATAAACCTAATAATAAGTTAAACTTCTAAAAAATATAATTAAAAATGTAAATAAATAAAAATAATTAATTTTGTTATTGATTTAGCGATCGATTTAAATCGGTCGCTAATTTTTTAACTTTGTCACCGATTTAGCGACCAATTTGATATATTAATTTCGGTCGCTATTTTGCGACCGAAATAAAATCGAGTCGCTATTTTACGATCGAAATGAAAATCGGTCGCTAACACATTAGCGACTTGGCTTTTTGCGACGACACATTTCTGTCGCTAATTTGGTCGCTAACTGATTAGCGACCGATTTTTTGACATTAGCGACCGATTTTTTCGGTCGCTAAAATGCTTTTTTCTTGTAATGAAAAGACAATACATACATAATAAAGCAAGAGATATATTTTACCTCAAGTGTGACCTTAATTATACGTTTGAGTATTTTTAATGATATTTTTGAGTTTCCTTTTTACTTATGTTGTTTATTCTTTAAGAGTTAGGGAAAATAAATATAAATAAAAACTTAAAAAAGTAAAAATATAATATAAAAAGAGGTAGGAGAAATAAATAATAAATATAATAAAAATGTAAATAAATAAAAATAATTAATTTTGTTATTGATTTAGCGACCGATTTAAATCGATCGCTATTTTTTTAACTTTTTCATTGATTTAGCGACCGATTTAAATCGGTCGCTAATTTTTTAACTTTGTCACTCGATTTAGCGACCAATTTGATATATTAATTTCTGATCGCTATTTTGCGATCGAAATAAAATCGGTCGCTATTTTGCGACCAAAATGAAAATCGATCGCTAACACATTAGCGACTTGGATTTTTGCGACGACACATTTCAATCGCTAATTTCGGTCGTTAACCGATTAGCGACTCGATTTTTTGACATTAGCGACCGATTTTTTCGGTCGCTAAAATGCTTTTTTCTTGTAATGAAAAGACAATACATACATAATAAAGCAAGAGATATATTTTACCTCAAGTGTGACCTTAATTATACGTTTGAGTATTTTTAATGATATTTTTGAGTTTCCTTTTTACTTATGTTGTTTATTCTTTAATTTTGTTCTTGCAACTTTGTCATTATCTTAATTAGTTTTGTATTATTAATATAATTAATAAATTTATTATTTATATTATAAAAAATATGCATATAATAATGATAATAATAATAAAAAAATTATATATATATATATATATATAACAAAAATTAATATATTATATAAAAAAATTTAAACTTAGAAAAAAATATATAAACATAACTTTTAAGAATATAATTGTCTAAAATTTATCTGAATAATTTGTAAATTTATAATCATATTATTATTTATGTATTACTTATACAAAAATTATATAAAAATTAACTGTATATAAATAAAATTTTATATAATATATATAAATATAATAAATAAATAAAATTATTAATTTTTTTATAATTTATTTATAAAAAAATAATTCAATTGTAAATTCTAGTTAAAAGAAAATGATAACAAAATCGTGTAGGTGACCTCTTTGCTAACATTTTAAAAACCGCTCATTTACTTAAAATCAAAATGTGTTTAACCGGTCAAAATGCCACCAATTAATATTGGTAATGTATGTTCATCTAATTATGTATAATATTTACTTATACTTTCATCTATCTATCACTGAACTATTGAATGAGACGAGAAACCCTAAAACCTTGAAACTTTTTTTGTTTTTTTTAATGTTCGGATTCAAATGTTAAATCTTGTGAAAAAAAAATAAAATCGTACGCAGTGTCATTCACTTTTTCTTTGTTTTGCTCGGAAAAAAAAAAAAAACTAGTTGGGCTTGTTTTATTTGGACATGGTTGGGATTCTTTAATCTTTAAAAGGTCCAGTTGGTTGTAGTTCCACAAATTCTTAGAAAATCTATGTTACATTTTCACTCTACAAAATTTAACAAAAACAGAAAAAGGAAGCATGAGCCTAAGCATCGACCAAGTGATGAAACCTAAACATGTATCATAAGATCAGCAACAATGAACAAAAAGCAGCTACAATCAAGCAAGTCCTGCTTCCATTCCAGTGAATGTATCATATAGAGGTTGATTCAGCGTCTCTGGAAGATAAAACGCAAACATTCCTCCCACTATTCCACATGCTGCAAACGCCGCAAATGGCAACCAGCCACCCAAAACCACCACAAACGGCGCCAATATAGCTCCCATTTGCGCCGCCTGCGTGGTGCATCCAAGCGCTGCGTTCCTCACCACCGTCGGAAACAGCTCCGCCGTGTAAATAAACAACAAATTATAAGTCCCCGCCATCCCAAATATCCCCAAAACACCACATACCATTCTCATCACCTTCCACACCCCCACGTTGCCCATCAAACTCCCCATCAAACAAAACAACCCGCTAAACCACATCGTCGCCACCGTCAACGGCTTCCGTCCAAACCTGTCCAAAAGCACCGCCGTTATCGTAAACGCCGGCATCTCCGCCACGGAGTTCAACATTACGTTCAGGTAAAGGTTGGTATCGAGGTTCACGACGTTTAAACTAAGCCCGTAGTACACCACGGAGCCTAATAAGTTAAGAGCCACCGCTAAGAGCAACCTTACACGAGTGATGGGGGAACGAACGACGTCCACGATGGATCCAACTAGCGCGTCTTTGTTTTCCACGTGTTCGTTTTTGTATGTCACCAATGTTATGTCATGACCTGAACCTTGGTTTTTTGCGGACGATGCTTCGTCGTCGAGTGCGAGGAGAACACCATCGGGAAGGTGCTTCCCGTTGGAAGAAGCAATGGTGGACATGAGCTTCGTGGCTTCAGCTACTTTCCCGCGAACAAGGTACCATCTTGGGGACTCAGAGATAAAGGGTAGGACAAGGATGATGTAGAGGAAAGAGGGGATGGAGGAAGCTATATAGAGATAGCGCCATGTTTGGAAGGTGTAAGCGATGCCAGAGAGAAGTGCAATGCCGCCGGAGAAGAAGTAGAAGGTGGACATGCCCGCGGTGCCGCGCTTCGTGGGGCCGATGGGTTCGGTGGCGAGGACGAAGGCACAGAGGCCAACGCCGCCGCTGCTGAATCCGGTGAGGAGGCGGAGGAGGACGTAGATCCAGTAGTTTGGGGACAGTGCTGTTAAACAGCCAAAGAGAGTGTTTAGGGCGCAAACCACTGTGAGAGAACCTTTTCTTCCTAGAGAGGAGTCTGAGAGGTGGCCAAATATTCCAGCCCCTGAAAATTCAGCGTCAATATTGTGTTGCTATGTGCCATGAATGGTAAGTTGCAAAATAATGTCTACAATTGTTTAACTCCAACTAATTTTATAATAATATTTATTATTATTTTATTGATAAAATAATTTTTCTTTTTTTTTGGAGTAATAAAGTAGCCGTGGACACACTACACAATGTAGCCTACGCCTGTACGCCCTGTACATAATTTCAGTTTTTTAAAAATAAATGTGAATATTTTATTATAAACTTTATATTTAAATTTTTTTAAAATAAAAAAAGTATTTAAAAATTAAATAAAAATACCATATTTTAAATTGTAAAATTTATAATAAAATATTTAATTTTATTCCTAAACAACTTTATTTAAAAAACAGGTCGAACAATAGCTTTATTGAATTTTTTTACAAATAAAATAAGTGTGAACTTAAAAATAATGATTTTATCCTATCAATTATAAAAAGTTATGAATGTCTGTAACGAAAGTGACATGTGAAAAAGAACCAAAAGAAGGGACATAGGTAAAGTAATTAACATCGATGGAAAAAAAAAAAAAAAAGCTTCAAAGTTGTCGTCCACTTTACTTTTGAAACCACGCATGCATAATATATTCAAGAACCGTGATGGTTCGACCAAAAACGACAGATTGGAAAAAGAATAAAAAAATGCAATGCATCTAAGTTGGTAAAGAACAAAGGAGAAAATTGTGCTCTCTTCACATTCACACTTTTTATATTTCTTCATCTCAATCTCAGCTCAACTTTCTCCCTTAACTCACTTGTAACTGACTTTTTAATATTTTCCAAATATTCATCCCTCACACTCTTCTCGTTTTATCCTTTTCAGTATCAAATTACACAAATGCCCCTTTCCAAACCCTAACAATGATAACCACAAGTCCAAAAAAGCAGCCTAACAACACACCTTACATCATTCTCAAACTTCGTCAACCATTCACACCTCATTCTAAGTTGTCCTATTACAAAATTTGAAGCTCCTCCACGACAGACAAAATATACAAGTTGTGAGGGATTACTGACAAAAGTCACAGCATAAGGCTTGCCTCAAAATTCATACATTCTTCAGTAAATTATTTAAACAAAACACCAGCCATGATTTTCCAGCCTAATAACATTTTTTTATATTTTTAAAAATATTATATATATATATATATATATTATAATATTATATATTTTTAATTACTTATATATTATAATATAGTTTTCATCACACCCTTCTCACCACAAATATTTAATATATTTTACCTAAAATTTGTTACTATTGCATTACCTTCTGAATAATCTTGCCATCAATATTTTCTAAATTATCATCAAACAGTTCAAGATTAGGCAGATCAAAAGTATCAATACGCTGAAAATGAAAAGATCACTAACCAATCATGCATCCAGCGAAGAACACGGCCTGAACCAACCCAATCTTGAACTTATCACCGCAAATCAGATTCCATTCCGATACGGTGGAGCCATGGCGGCCGCCGACCCACTCCCACGCCTCCGGCGAGAGGCCACAGACGCCGCCATCCCCTCCGCCGTCACAGGCCGCCCCGGGGACGCACCTCCAGTCTGGTTCGCGGTCGGCGAAGATCATGACCATGGTGTGGAAGGCCTCGAGCGCCCACGCGAGACTGGTGAAGATGAAGTGCTTGAGCTGCCACCGCCCGAACTCGCCGCAGTACTTCTGCAGCATGTCATCGATGCAGAGCTTCTCCGCCGCCGGTTTCTTATCCGCTGCCGCAAGTATCGGCGAGCGGAGATCATCGAAGTCGGAGGACAGAGATGCCGCCATCAAATTCAAACTTTTTTGCGTTCTGTGTGTTTGTTGGATGGTTTCTGTTTCTCTGCAGACGCAAATGATAATACAAGTGAGAAATCACGTGGTCACTAAATCTACACTGTATCGAAATGAAGATAATATTATCGATATCAGTAATAATCTTACTTAGTTAAACAAACATATACCACTTTAAGAATATTCTTGGTTTAATTCTTTCCTTCTTCTTCTTCTCTCTCTCTCTCTTTTTTTTTTTTCAGTTCAAGCGTAATTTTTGTATTTTCAAAATTTTATCTGTGACTTTAAATTGTTATATATTTTTTTTCATACATTTTAGGTTTAGAGAATTCGAAATTTTGATATAATTTTTAATTTTACATAGATTTTTTTTTTCATTTTTCACACTTTAACGGCTAAATTATTTTTAGAAGTATATATTAGTTAATATTTTAAAGCATTTATTTATTAATTAATTTTTTAAAAGTATTTATAAATATCTTTTTATGAATGACATGCTGTTTATATGTTTATTTACTAATTACTAATTTTAAAATGGATTTTTTTAAAGTTGTTTCTTATTATAGAAATAAACTCATGATTGATAATGGTTTAAATTATAAATAGATTATTAATCTTGCTAATTAATGTCCAATAAATCATTACAATATATTTAATATGACTCTTTCAGTAGATATAACATAATTATATAAACAAATATTTATTAAATATTCTCAATTAATTATCAATACATACTTTTATATTTTATAATTTGAATATATTATTGTATTATCTCAATCATAAAAACTGATTCGCTTTTACAAATTTACAATTTTACTCATTTATAAATTAATTTGATTGTTATAAAAAATTTCATTTTTCTTATTTTTTTTTTCTTATTTTTTTTTCAAATATGCGGTATATTAATTAAAATCTATGACATAACGATTTCACAATGTAGTTTTATTTGTTTTATTATTTTTAATAAAGTTAGTTGTTTTGGTTAAGAATTTATTTTTGGAATTGATTTAGTTGATAATAAGGTGAATGGGATAAAGTGAAAATGTTTTCTTATATTTAAAATCTTATTATACTAATTTACAAAATAAGTATAAAGTGTTATACTAATTTTACAAAATAAAAAACATTAAATAAATATCTGAAATTTTATAAAAAATATATCGTTATTATTATTATTATAATTATCACTTTTAAAGTGTTAATATTATTTTTAAGTTACAATTATTTTAATATTTTAATTAACAGAATATACTTTAACGAATTTTTATAAAAATATTAATGTTCTAATATTACATATTGTAGATACTAAAATGTTAAATTATTTTTATTTTTTAATATGTAAGAGTAATTATGAAATTTGAATTTAAAATACTCTACAATTTTCTTATCCACACACCCAAATTGAATTTTATTTGAAAAAAAAATACTAATATTTATATTTCTTTTACTTTTAAAATAAGGAATACTCACATCATATTCACTTCATTTAAATTTTAATGAAATGCATTTTTATTTTATTTTATTTTAAGATAATTATGTAACTAAAATTTACGAACATTAAAGTATAAGTTTTAAAATAAAAAGTTGGATGGTTTAATTAATTTTTAAATTTTTATTTAACCCAAAAAGAAAAAGATGTATTTGTGTCTCCAATGGGTTGATCAGATTACTGTCCCATCACCGTGCACACATAACACGTGGACGGCAAGTCTCATCACAGTGAACATAATCTGCTCCATATATATATATATATATATATATATATATATATATATATATATATATATTTAAATTAACTTTCTATTGACTTAGACAATTCTCTTTCAATATATATTAAATTCGATAAATTTAAACTTTTCAAATAGGAACTCGACCTAATAATTAAGTTTCTACTTCACAAACAGCCAAAATTTGATTTCATTGAAAAAAAGAAGAAGAAGCTTATTATATATAATTTTGTCGTTACTATTATTTTGGACACCAAAGTATCCATGAACGAGGAAAGCCAAACATTATTGACTGAAACATACAAAATCAATGTCATCATTTGGTTTGTTTGGAAATGTTGGTATGAGTTGTATCCGAGTAGACCATACCAGGAAGATCGAGGAATATAATAAACTAATTTTGCATATTAATAGATTTTGAATTATCAATATTAAAACAAATATCATATGAATAATTGAATATAAGGTAATAATAATCGTTATTATAAAATTATTATTAAGGATGCGTCATTTATATATACCTGTTTCTGGTGGAATTTTGATCGATTTCGATTCTAAGGGTGTTTTGGTCCTAATCAAAAATCTACCACGAAAGTTCTTTTTACTTAAGCTAGCAGTCTGACTTTCAATCGAAAACGTATATGAGAATCGAAAATCATAAGATATCAAGAAAACTGTTTTTGGTGTTGTCTTTAAAGTATCGAAAACAATAAAGTATCGAATCAAAAAAGCAGAATATTAAATTGCGAGGAAATGTAAAGTGCGAAAACCCCAAACTTGCATTAATTGTAAATGACAAGGAATCGAAAAATAGTGCAAATGTAAATGGCAGGAAATCGAAATGTGCAGGAAATGTAAATGACAATAAATCGAAAATACAGAAACTTAAACTTTCATTGAATTGAAATGGACAAGGAATTGAAAATACAGAAACATAAAATTGCTGAATTTAAATTGCATCAAAATAAATTACCAAGGAAAATACAGAAAGCGGTAAATGTACTCAGTGAGCAAGGAAATCCAGATTGCCAGAAACTTCATGGTGTTCGTCGTTTCTCTGGTAGACTTTTCACTACTGATCCTGTTCTCTGCCAATTTCTGCTCCTTTTTTTCCTTCTTCCTTTGTTCTATTTATAGGGTATCCTTCAAGCCTTCCAAGAGCAGTTAACACGACTGCTACCACGTTCTGCGTGCGTATAGCCGTTTATCTTCTATAGTTTCCCACGTTCTTCACGATCTCCGACTTTTTCCCATGATTTCAAAACTGCTCTTTATACGTGCATTCGGCTTACTTCCTTTCACGATTTGGCCAAAGTCTTGATGTCCACATTGGCTTTCCTTACTCTCGATTCTGTATTTTTCGAGAACTTCGAATTGCTTATGATTCCTTTTTAACCCTGGTCTTACATGACTTAGTTTTTATTCGACAACAGTCATTTGATCATTATTCATTCGATTCTCGATTGTGCTTCTCGATGCTATATGCTATGTATTTCTGATTATACATCGAATGAATTTTTGTTTATCTTATCGAGTCACGTTTCTTTCCTTCGATTTCGATCACTTTTCTCGATTTGCCACTAACAAAATGCCCCCTTGGAAGAATATAAATGATTTCTGTTTTATATTCTTTCAATATTCCCGCCTTAGTGTTTGAAAGCCCACAGGATTTAGGGTTTAGGGTTTCTGGGGTTCTAGGGTTAAAAGGGGTTTTAGGTTTCTTTTACACTTTACGTCGCCGTCTCGTCAGTCTGTTGCCTTTCAGTACAAGTTACATTAATTATCTTTCCCTTCCGTCGTTTCCAACTCCCTAGACGATTTCCCTTTAACCTTTCCTTGATCTTTACTCTGGTCTTTACGCGAACTATCACCCTCTTCGCAATCTTATCTTCTCCTTTGAGCTCTTGCTTTCGTCCCTGTTACCTCATCCGTTAACTCTTCCCTTTCTGTTTTCTTAAGCTCATTACAATGGCCACCTCGTCGAAATCTTCTGACTTCTCCGTTCCACCCCTTTCCTCATTGCCTTCCAACCTGCTGGAGATTAATAACCAGAAGTTCGCTCCAGTCCCTTTGATGGAGGAGGCTTCTCGCAAAATTGCTGAAACGCAGGTACTTATCCCTTACACTGCTGAGGGGGTTAATTTTGCTTTTGGGGGTCCACTTCGTCCTATAGATGACATTTTCTCCCCTCTCAACCTCTCGATTAGCCCGACTCTTGTACATCATCCTGAGGTTAGGGTTGATTTTCTGAATCTTACCTCTAAGGTATATAGAACAGGCCCTCCTTCTAAAAAATCTTCCTTCATTAGGTGGTTTGATAGGGTAAAGACTAAGTTTGGGAGCCACTGGAAGGATGTTGGAATTTTCGACTTTTTGCATCTGTCTCGATGCGATCTGTCGTTTTTGGATATGACAATGTTTCTATCTGCAGTGCACTTATGGAACAAGGATTTACATGCTTTGGAGTTGCCTTGTGGCCCCCTTTCACCCACCCTTTTTGAGGTCGCGGCTATTACTGGCTTGAAACCTACGGGGGAAAAATACTTCAAGGGTACATGTCCTTCGGATAATTCTCTGAAGTCTAAAATTGATTGGGAATCGAAGGCCTATGGTCATTTTCTTGAGAAGCATTTTATCGATGACCCTTCGATAGCTGTTACCGATGAAGAGCACATGGCATTTTTGGTGTATTGGCTGTGTACTCACGTCTTCTGCCCCCGATCGATCCAAATTTTCCCCCATCTTTTTGACCTTGCATATGTCCTGCACATAGGCCAGCCTAGGATATGTTTGGCTAAGTTGCTACTAGCTCATGTGTATGCGACTTTCGACGAGGCTGTCGAAATTTTGAACACACCTAAAGCATCGGGGAACTTTTCAGGCCCCGTTTGGTTTGTACAGTTATGGCTCACTTCGATCTTTGAGAGTGTCCTTCCTCGAATTTCTTCCGTCCCCCCGAGTGTAAATATAGAAGGGGTCCGATTATCCTCTCGTCACCCTTGCCATAAGTCTGATGAAACTACCTACTGTAAATACCTTCAATTTTTGTTAACTAGATTCACTTTCGACTCAACCTTGGCCCCATTTACTGTACATCTTGGACAAACAAGTGGCCAACTTAGGGGGCCAATTTGGTTTAAATCAAAATTTCCTGCCTCGACTCCTGGGTTGCAATCAGAACTGATTGATGTATGGAGCAATTATTTGACCCATGATGTTTTGGTGTCGGGTTTTCGATCGAAGGATTTTAAGCTTGTCACCTATTACCCC